GTCGGAAGTCGTCGGAAGTCGTCGTCGTTGACCGGAGACGGTGCTGGAAGGAGTCGTCGGGAGTGACAAGAAAGAGAGTCGGCGGCTAGGGCAAAAGAGTCGGGATTTGGGAGAGATTGGCTTTTGAAGAATGAGTTCGGGTCGGGTTTGCGGTGAAGTATCCGCTTACTGTAGCGGGTTTTAGCGGTTTTAACCGCTTTTGTCCGCTAAAACACCGTTTTTTCGCGCAATTCGAGCACATCACGGTTTTCTCCGCTAATTCTCCACGCGATCTCATTAAGCGGCGCGGTGAAGCATCGCGACCGCGATTAGCGGCGCGAAAGCGGCGCTATTTGCCGCTTTTTACAACAGTGGAGACATGTTGACTCAGATAAGACTCTGCGTCAGTGCTGACATTGTGGAAGGACTAATCACACCTTTGAGAAGTGTTGGGAGAAATTTGGTCGCCCTACTTGGGCCCAGACTGCTGATGTTACACCTCTTTCTGTTGATTCTCTGATAACTATTTCTGCCCCCACCACTGTTCAGATTTCGCAAGCCGAGTATAACTGGTTGCGTCAACTTGAATCCTCTCAGAATATCCATTTTGCTACTCATGCATCTTCTTCAGGTATTGATGCCTACATTGCCTCTCCTCACAGGTCATGAGTATTAGATTTTGGTGCAATCTTCTCATATGACAGGTATAAATGATCACTTTGTTTCTTTAAAACTTTCTGACCGGTTTTCATCGGTTCGCATTGCTGATGGTACATACTTTCCTGTTCTTAGTGATGGAGTAGTCCATGCTACTTCATCACTGATCCTTACTGATGTCTTATATCTTCCCAAATTCCCTGTCAGTTTATTATTTATTAGTCAGTTCACCAAACACAACAACTGTAAAGTAACATTCTTTCCCTCTTATTGTGTTTTTCAGGACCTGACAACTGGGATGCATATTGGTTCGGGACATGAGAGAGGATGCATGTACTATTTGGACGATAATATGCCTGCTACTGGTCTTATTACAGCAAAATCTGATCACCCTTTACTATGGCATCAACGCCTTGGTCATCACTCATTATCCAAGCTTAGATCTGTCATTCCTATCCAATCGTCTGTTTCGTCTTTAGGTTGTGAGTCTTGTGAACTGAGTAAGCACCATCGTGCTGCCTATCCGAGTCGTATTGATCACCGCAGTAGTTTTGCGTTTGAGTTAATCCATTCTGATGTTTGGGATCCTTGTCGTATTCCTTTCGTTAAAGGTTATCGGTATTTTCTTTTCTTTATTGATGATTTTTCTCGCATGACTTGGCTATATCTACTAAAAGAGAGATTTGATGTTTCGATTGTTTTTGAAATCTTTTACAACGAAATCAAAAATCAATTCTCCACCTCTATCCGTGTCATTCGTACCAATAATGCCTTAGAATACATGAAAAATAACATCTCTCGTTTTTGTGTAAATATTAGCATTATCCATCAAACTTCATGTTCTCACACTTCACAACAAAATAGAGTTGCAGAAAGGAAGCATAGACACATTTTAGATGTTGCTCAGACCATGATGATACATATGAATATTCCAAAGTATTTGTGGTCTGATGCTGTTCTCAGTGCATGTTTCCTGATCAATAGGATGCTCTCTTCTGTTCTTAATGGTAAAATACCATTCACCTGCCTTTATCCTAACAAAAATCCTTTTCCTGTGGTTCCTCGTGTTTTTGGTTGTACTTGCTTTGTTCTGGATTTGTCTCCAGGAGTGGATAAACTATCTTCACGATCTAGTAAGTGTCTTTGTAGGCTACTCGCGAACTAAAAAAGGTTATCGATGTTATAATCCATCCTCCAGGAAATATTTTGTGTCTGCAGACGTAACCTTTTTTGAGTCGGTTCCATACTTCTCCTTGACTGGTTCACCCATATCTGTCAGTTCATATGTGCCTCTTCCGTCTCTCGCTCCTACTACTGTTCCATTACCTGCTTCGGTTTCTTCTGCTGATGGATCTTCTCCGGGACTACAAAATGCTTCCACTATGCCGTTTGTACCACCACCACTACTGACGTATTATCGTCGTTCAAAAGTTCCTATCCCTCTCTCTGCTCCAGCCGAACAGTCATCTTCCATTGCAGGTCTGCCTCCTAATCCATCTGATCAAGATATTCCAATTGCTCATCGAAAAGGTAAATGATCTTGTACTAATCATCCTATATCTGATTTTGTTTTGTATGACCGTCTTACTCCCTCTTCTCGTCAGTGTGCTTTGTCCTTGTCCTCTATATCTCTACCCAGGTCATATGAGGAGTCCATATTAGATCATGCTTGGAAACATGCTATGGATGAGGAGATTGATGCACTTGTTTCTAGAAGGACTTGGGATCTTGTATCTTCTCCGACAGGCGCTATTGTAGTTGGCTGTCGGTGGGTTTATACATTGAAGTATCGCACCGATGGTTCGATTGATCGTTATAAAGCACGTCTTGTTGCTAAGGGATATACTCAAACCTATGGGATCGATTATCTTGAGACATTCTCTCCCGTAGCCACGTCTTGTTGCTAAGGGATATACTCAAACCTATGGGATCGATTATCTTGAGACATTCTCTCCCGTAGCCCGTCTCAATTCCATTCGCCTACTTTCAAACCTATGGGATCGATTATCTTGAGACATTCTCTCCCGTAGCCCGTCTCAATTCCATTCGCCTACTTTCTCTATGGCTGTTAACCTGGACTGGACAATGTTTCAGCTGATGTTAAAAATGCCATTCTGTATGGTGACTTGCTGGAGGAAGTCTATATGGAGCAATCTCCAGGGTTTGTTGCTCAGGGGGAGAATACTGTCTGCAAGCTTAAAAAGGCGATTTATGATCTAAAACAGAGTCCACGGGCATGGTTTGAGAAATTTAGTACTGCTATATCTGGTGTCGGTTTCAAACAATGTCAGTCTGATCACTTCGTCTTTATCCGACGCACTACAGCTGGTCTGGTGATTCTGACCGTATATGTTGATGACATCCTGCTAACTGGGAGTGACCTTGCTTCCTTAACTGAGACTAAGGAGTACCTTTCACGTCACTTTGTGATCAAAGATATGGAAAAACCCAAATACTTTCTTGGGATTGAGATTGCATATCAAAAGGACCATTTGCTTCTATCTCAAAGAAAATATGTATTGGACCTATTAGAAGAAATAGGCCTTTTGGAGTGTAAGCCAGCAAGCACTCCCATGGAGATGAATGTGGATTTATGGCGTGATAATAGTCATTTCCTAGATGATACAGGCCGATATAGGAGACTGATTGGCAAGTTCATCTATCTTACTGTTACTAGACCTGATATTACCTTTGCAGTAGGAGTATTGAGCAGGTTTATGCACAAACCTAGAGGGGTTCACTGGACTGTTGCTTTGAGGATTCTAGCTTATGTTAAAAGTTGTCCTGGAAAAGGATTATTGTATAAGAAGCATGGACATCTACACATCTCTGTCTTTTCTGATGCTGGGTATGCGGGAGACATAGGAGATAGGAAGTCAACTTCTGGATTTTGCACATTTATTAGAGGAAATCTAGTTACTTGGAGGAGCAAAAAGCAAGATGTTTCTCGATCTAGTGTAGAGGCAGAATACAGGGCTATGGCTCACACTACATGTGAGATGATATGGTTATAGAAGTTGTTGACAGAGCTTGGTTTTACTCAGCCTGGTCCTATGCCTATGCATTGTGATAACCAGTTCGCTATCTATATTACAAAGAATTCAGTATTTCATGAGAGAACTAAGCACATTGAAGTTGATTGTAACTTTGTTAGAGATGCTTGGAAAAAGAAAGTGATCTCTCTTCAGTTCACTCCATCCTCCGAACAGTTAGCTGACATTCTCACTAAAGCTATATCACCTAAGGTGTTTTCTATTCTATGTAACAAGTTGGGCATGGTTGATATATATGCTCCAACTTGAGGGGGAGTGTTAGAATTAGTATTTGGGTTATCGGGTGTAGATACAAAAAAAAAAAATGAACAAGCCCTATAAATGAAACTTAATGTGAGAATGATAATACCTCATAAAATTCAAAACTAATGTGAGGGATATTACCTCATACAAATCAAAATCAATGTGAGGTGTAGTACCTCACATAAATAAAAATTAAGTTGAGGATGATAGCAGTACCTCATACAAATCGAAATCAATGTGAGGTGTAGTACCTCACATAAATAAAAATTAAGTTGAGGATGACAACAGTACCTCATACAAATCAAAATCAATGTGAGGTGTAGTACCTCATAAAAGTGAAAATTAAGTTGAGGATGACAGCGGTACCTCATACAAATCCTAATCAATGTGAGGTGTAGTACCTCGTATAAATGAAAATTAAGTTGAGGATGACGGCACCTCATGTAAATTTGAAAGTCATGTGATCATAAGCCTTAGCTATAAAATCTAACTTGTGGATACCCACCCTCATACGAACATTATTTCAACTTAAAGGGATAAGGGCTCTCCATTTACACTTATTTTAGAAACATGAAAGATAAGCAGATAGACACTTGAGAAATGAAAAGCAAAGAAGATGTTCGTTATGATAAACGAGCGCAACAATCTTGATAAGAAAGTTTCGATGAGGAAGTTACAATAACTCCCCCACCAATCCATTTTAAACACCTGGCGATAACTTCCCCTTGGTTTTTGATATAAATGGAGACCTCATTTGCCATTCGAAAGAGGAGGATAAAAAAAGGAACAACAGAAAAGAGAAAGAAAAGACGGAGAGATTGAAAAGAAAGAGAGACTTAGAATTTGAAACAACAACGACAAGGTCCTCTTTATTTTTTTATTTTTGAAAGGGAGAAGGGCTCCAGACCATTGTCTGGAGATCCAAGAGCCCATCTTCTTTCTTTTCAATTTTGTAATACATTAGAAATAATAAAATTGATATCTCTCTATTGATTCTTGATGTCTATTTAATTCTTTGTTTTCTACTAATTAGGGGTTTCTTTCAACAAGAGTAATTAACAGAAAGAAATAAATTTATGGAAGCATGTACCTCCTAAATATTTTTTTTACAAACAAAGTGATATTAATATGTATCGGAATAAATATTTAGAGATTGCTCTACTCTTCTTGAGATTGGTGTTACGGCTTGATCAAGAAGAGATTAGCCTACTCAAATATTATTATTTCTCTGATGGATACTAGCATCATTTTGAATTTCTTTTACAAACTATACACGTTGGGCATTCCGATGCTTACATCGGGTTAGGGTCCATTAACCCATTAGCCTATTACCCATATGTAACTCTATATAAACTCATGTGAATGAATGGAAGAGGAAAGCTCTCTGATTTCTCACTTCAACAATGTCAAAAATGCACATTCTTGAGCTCATCAAAATTATCTGGAGGAGTAGTTCTTAAACATCGTTTCATCCAAATTTCAGGAGTTGACAAGAACTCGTAATTGCATATTGCCCTGCTTGCAAGTGCGTTATGATCTTTCTCAAAGTACTTATAACGGTCACTTTGATCGATTCAACCCTGGCCAATCGATATAGGCAATGCATAGATTGTAGCAGTTGTTTCTGTATCCAGCTAAGACACACATTAAGTATGTTGACTGTAACATGTACTGTTTGTAAGTTTTGGATAATTGAAATTATCAAAATCAATAGCTCTGGTTGTTTATGGGTCTGTGTTTATTCCTTTTAAATCATATTGTTTGCTTTCAGTTTTCGTTAAGGATATGCTCATTGTTTTAGGAATATGGACACAAAGCAGCATTTTACCATGGTAGCATGGATCCCCCTCAGCGAGCTTATGTGCAAAACCAGTGGAGCAAAGATGAAATTAATATAATATGCGCAACTGTGGCATTCGGGATGGGTATTTATTGCTTCTTTTTCTCTCAAGATTTGCTTAGCAGCTATTAGGCACAGGATACTAAAACATTGTTTCAGGTATCAACAAACCTGATGTCCGTTTCGTCATTCATCATTCCCTTCCAAAATCCATAGAAGGCTACCATCAGGTAACATCCGACCAATATTCACACATTTTGTTCACCTCATTTTCGAAGAGTTACAGGAAAATTGGTGATGGAGGATATTGATTTATATAAACCATTCTTTTCCTCGTTTATAAGGAGTGTGGACGTGCTGGTAGAGATGGTCTTCGTTCATCTTGTGTATTATATTACTCTTATGGTGATTACGTAAGTCAAAGACTCGATGCATCTTTCTTTTGCCTCTTCTACATGTATTTTTGCACACTTGAGACTTAGTTCTGGATGTTATTGTTCTCCTTTTGATGTAGATCCGAGTCAAACATATGCTGACTCAGGGAGTCATTGAGCAAACTCCGTTAGCATATGGTTCAAGACGGGGTGCTTTTACAAACAATGATAGAGTACTGGAGACAAATATTGAGAACCTTTTGCGGATGGTATCTTAATTTAGTTCTGCTATTTTTGCTTTCTCTCCAGGAGGACATTTGCAGAGTATAATTTATTTGGTATAATAACTCTTACAGGTTAGCTATTGTGAAAATGATGCAGATTGCCGACGGCTATTGCAGCTTATACATTTTGGCGAAAATTTTAGTCCAGAAAACTGCAACAAGACTTGTGATAATTGTTTGAAAATGTTGCATTGGATCGAGAAAGACGTCACAGATATTGCTAAACAACTGGTTAGGCATATAACATAATTCCATATCTTTGCCCTTGCCCCTCTAGCAGTTCAACGCACTCTATGTTTAGAAATTTTGTTATTACTTGCTAATTAGATGCCTCCATAAGTTTGATACAAATGTCCGCCTTTATGCAGATTGAACTTGTGAAGTCAACAGGACAGAAACACTCCTCAGCACACATTCTGGAAGTATTTAGGGGTTCTTTGAACCAAAATGTATGTTGCTAATTTAGACATTTTTTTAATTCTCCACTAAGTTGATTAGCCACTTATTCAGATTAGTCTACCATTTAGATAAAGAAGTACAAACACGAGACACTCAGCCTGCATGGAGCTGGTAAACATTTAGCCAAAGGTGATGCTTCCAGGATAATGCGCCATTTAGTTGTTGAGGACATTCTTGTGGAAGATGTCAAGAAAAGTGACCTTTACGGATCTGTGTCATCTATCTTGAAGGTATGAAATCTGAAGATTTTGCACTTTCCGCTTGTTATAATTTGTTTCAGCGTGGCATTTGTCAGCAATTTCTATCCTGTAAGGGTGTTCTGTAATGCTCTTGATTTATCTGCAGATAAATGAGTCTAAAGCATATAGTCTTTTCTCTGGCAATCAGACTATTGTTCTGAGGTAGTCTTCTGGCTTGCCTTTATACACTTTGTTCGCTTACTTGATCAAGATCTTTCTTTATGTATGCATTTATACACTTTGTTCGCTTACTTGATCAAGATCTCTCTTTTAAGGAGCAGAGGATTAGTGAAAGAATTCGAATTCTTCATTTAAGGCATAATAAACATGGTGGATCTCACTGAATTAACATACTTTTATGCATGAAAATTATAATACTTAGCTACTGTCTTCTATCACATTTGACTTAATGGTGCTTGAGAGTAGAGAATATGTGTTCTTGATTAGCCTGTTACTGGGTATGGCTGGCTTTGGTTAAAAGCATCTGCCAGAATCTGTGGCTTGGACTGGACCCTTTCCTAATTTTCACCATTCATCTGAACCAGATATTCTGACACATTGGCCTTTCTATTTACCAAATGGTCAAAGGTCAAGTGGGTTCATGGTTTTCCACTACAAAAAATATTATAAATTTATAATCATGACTTAAGCAGTCCAAAAACTCCAATCCTTTTTCCTCTCCCCGGTTCACATGTTTCAGAGGTAGATTAATCATATTTGGTTTCACATCACCTGACAGTTACACTTGAGAAAGATGATCATTATGCATTTAACTTTGCATGTGTGCCATAATCAATAGCTGTCTAGCAATCCGATTTTCCTTAAATGATGTCTGGGTGATTCACCCTCATGCCTTCCTATCCTATAGGCTGGCTGTTCAAACTCCCTTTCAATGTGTTAAGTTTCAAATATCAGCACAAAATCTAGTGTATATGAACTGAAATTTGTGGATGCCAGGGGTTTAAGTTTTTATGTCGCCCTTTATGTTTATGCTGTGTGTTTATAATATACTTTCTTAAATCATCTGCTTTAACTGTTTCATTTTGTAAATGGATTCTTCAATGTCATTTTCTCTTGCCATGCACTTCTTCTCTGTCTACCATCTTTGGCTCATTAAGATGAAAGGTACCGTATGATTAAAAATATGTTATCATGGCTCATTCATGTTTAAGGTTACTGTTGCTAGCTATTCAATACTAATATATGAAAAGCCTAAAATTTAGGTTTCCTGCTGCTGTAAAGCCGTCTAAGTTGACACCAGCAAAGGGATCACTGCTTCCAGAAAGAAGTCTTGAACAGAATGAAATAAATGCTCAA